GGGCCTACATATCTTTTACTTCTAAGAAAAGGAAACTGCAGCTACACACATTGATTTTCACTAGGTACGAGGCAGGCAGAAACTTTCAAACATTAATTTTTCTGCATCAGATCAGATGGCCACAATGCTTTCACTAACAAGTGAGCAACTTCCTGTGAATATTTATTAAAAATTCACTGTGGTCTTAATATGCTTCAATAAATCTTGCTCTCTTCCTCATAAAGTAAGCCTCTACTTAAGCAATAAGCTCCCCTGCTACTTCAATTTGCTGGAAAGCCTATAATGTTAAACTCATCAAATAGTTGCTTTGTTTTTTATGCAAATTCCTGTCACCATAGTTATATAAGTGCTTATGCAATGAAAATATACATAGTATTCAAACCTGACCATGTCACTGAGGATTATTTTCAAGAGCTAAAAATCAAAGTTGCATCCTGTTTTGTTTTATATTTAAGAACCTGCTGCACACATAAAATGTCATATATGCCCAAAATTTGCTTTCAGTCACGTCCCCCAAAAAACCCAACCAGAATTGAACTGCCCGCTGAAGGCTATTCTTTAGTCAGAGTCCATGCAAAATTGTATTAGAAGCTTTGAAGTTAAAACATGAACATTGACTACCAGAGAGGGCCCTAAAGACAAAGACATTTGCTGGATGTAAATGTTCAGTGAAGACAAAGGTCACCTTATACTTTCCCGAAATCTGAACATGTCGGAAAGTCCATATCCTGTTCTTGAGTTTTGCTTAAGAGCTGAAATCTTTTCATGGAGTAAATCACCAATGAAATATTGTTAACCTTGGTGATTGATTATGTTGTAATGGCCAAGTTATGATAACCTCACAGGTCATGGGACTGCAGAAGCTCTGCTGTTAGGGCAGAGGAATCTGATTCATCACACCACCAGAGCAAATGGGGCACAAGCAGAAGAGCTGCCTGGCAAGCCAAGCCTTCAGTTTGCAGGAAATGAGGTTTTATCTGAATTGATGGCTTTAGTCCAAATCAAGCAGGAAACAAACTCTTTTGAAAATGCCCACAAACTGGAAATTCCCAGAAAGGTCACTTCAGAAACATCAAAACACTTCCAAAACACAATCCCAAGTTCCCAAGCCTGCGGCTGATCAGTGACAGTCTCTGGCAACAGCGCCAGCATGTGCGAACGCCAGCTCCACACAGTAGCTGTGGGAGCTCCCAAGACCCTCTGGCTCTGGTGCAGCCTTGATCCTGAGGACTGCCCTGGGAAGCCTGCCCAAAGTCACAGCTCCACGTCGGGGAGTGTAGGAGCTCTGGCAGTCCCGCTTCAGCCAAGCCTCTTAGTGCTTCCAGACATGGAAATCAAAGCAGAGTTCAAGCTCCCAGGGTTTTCTTGCTTTTAGCTTGACAGCAGGTTGGAAGTGGTTGCCCAAGACCACCAGCTGCAGTTTCAGGCCCCCAAGCCCTGGACAGTCCTTGGTGCCATTGGACAGGCTACTCCAAGACAGAGGAGGCTGCATTGCCTGAGCTGATCTGCCAAGTGTTCCAGGAACCAGAGGAGCTCAATTTGGCAAAAACTCACCAATGGGGATAACTTCAATCAAAATATTTCAGGCCCAGCAGATGTGCTATTTCCACCTAAACTTTTTACCAATAAATCTCTAACAAGCAAGATAAAAACCAAAGGCCTTACTCTCCACTACTTACATTCATATAGAGTCATCTGCATTTATGAAACACAGTACAAAAGAACACTTATTCAGACCAGCTTTAAGATCTCAAGACAAGTGGCTGACACTATTATGTATGGATAACAAGAATTCAACAGCAATGCCTTCAGCTACTCTGTGTGCCCTGGCTGCCCCCTCCCACCTCTATACCGCAAGGTACCTCCTCAGATCTCTTGGCCAACCATTCACAGGGTTGAGATGAAAAATTTTTGAACTTTTAGAGTAAGCTAGAGTTTTGGTTCTGTGTAGAAAGGTAAATTATGTACTGAGAACAAGGCAAAGCAAAGACAAAGCATGACCTCTGTATTTGCACATCTGCTTTGGTTCACACTCCAAGTGAGATTTGTTATTAAAAACTTCAGGTAACTGATATGCATTTTGAAGAATGTGAAAGAACAACACTGCTTCCCAGGAACCACAGCAGGACAGTATAACACTTGCTTTTGGTTCTGCAGTGATGATTAAGGAGTTCAGAGGAGGATTAGTTGTTTTCTGAATCTCAAATATATGATCTAGTGCCCTGAGGTTCCCTTATTTATTTCTGACTCCTTTCAACAAAGAGGGTTTAAATAAAATTTTTCCTATATAAACCAACCCTTTTTTTCTTGTTGAACATGTTACTTACTTGGATCATACAAGCATGTTTTAATGCAACACAACACTTACTTTCTCTTCTGCAGTTTACACTTAAGTGGTCATATGAATTATAAAAAAAGAATACATTACTACAGGCATCTGAGCGGATGGTGATGGTGTGCGTGTCATCTGCTCTGGTTTGTATATCTTGAGCCAGGTTCTTCTCCAGACTCTTTTTTTTAGCAGTTTAACTGCACTGACTGCCCTTATTCACAACAGTACCTTTGAAATCTGGTCACTACAGTAGAAAGATGGACTTCATCACCCCAAGAGTTAGAAATTCAACCTGAATCAGCCTATATCTTTTTGCCCCACTGCATTAGCTGTTCTGGCCCAAAGTGGTCTGAAGCATAAGAGCCCTTTCAAAGTACTGCCAACCGAAAGTTTTTTATATTAGTAGATCCCAGCCAATTAATTATATCATCACTACCACAGGGTTTCTGGGGAAGGGGCTACTGGCTCTTACTTGTGGTTTCACACATGTTGAAGTCAGAGGAAGCACTGCTGCTCACCAGCCTTCACTCTGGACACAAACTGCTTTCTGGAGTGAGCTGGAAGTGACACAGGAGTAGAACAGAGGCATGTTGGACAAAGGCTAAGACAAGTATACAAGAAGATAGATTTGCTGAGATCAATAAGAAAGGCAGTAGTTACTTCTTCCTCTTGATTAGCAGGATGTTAACAAGTATAAAACCATATGGTATGGTTGACACTGTGTAGGCCCTCCCCTCACATCACACCTGGATGAAAAACAGAGCAGCACAGCACGTAAGTCCAGGCTACTCTGAATCCCCACAAAAACTAGCAAAGCCACCAAAGCTGGGCAATGCTGGGACTAGACTACCACAGTTCACTGGTCCCTGAACACACAGAGGGGAAGCTGGCACTCCTGCATTCCCACATGTGTACCAGTAATAGATCTCTTTTATCTGTATGTATCTGTTATATCTAATCTTCCCTTGCACCTTCTGGATGCTTACATACACAAAGTGGCTGAAGCATGCAGGTTAAACACCATCAGAGAGCCCTGGCAGCTACTGACAACCAATCTGTACCAGCGGGTTCCAAATGTAAGAGGTAAATGGATAGGGATGATCTAGGGCCATATTTATCTTTCAGAATGTCTTCCTTTTAAAATGATGTAGCATAGTCCCAGAGAAAAAGGTCTATATCCAAAAAATCTTGATGAGTAGGCTGAATTTAATTCAGAGCTTTAGGGTAATGCATCTCATCTATCTGTAAAAGTAGCAATTATCCACCTGGAAAAAAAGCTTTGTTTCCAGGGCCCCTTAAGTCTGTGCCAGTAAAGGTACCAACTGCAGTTGTAGTTTACAAGAAAAGAAACATTAGAGCACCAACTCTATAATCCCAGATTGTAAATTGTAAACTAAATACTCTCCATGCAAACATTTCATTGATAGAATTGTGGGAACGGGGACATCATCTCCCTTAGTAAAAAAAAAAAAAAAAAGAAAAAAGTGTGACTTCAAACATGTGTTTTGAAAATACCAAAGAACTATGACATTTTTGGTCTGCCAGAAAAATGATCACATCTTGATTGAATAGTTTGCTTTCTCACTTCCTTTTCCAAGCTGAAATGTCAACTATTTTAAGTAAAATCAGAATATTACTCAACCACAAATCAGAAGAGAACCTTGATGCCAGAGCTGTCATCAAAAGGCACATTTCAGTTACATATTTGCAGTTTTACTATTAAGAAAACAGAGATTAAACCCTTCCAAATACTTTGCTGCTTAATGACACAATCACTAGCATATTATTAAAGCTCAATACTGACATTCCAGTCATGGTATCTGCAAACACTAAGACATTATGCGATGAGAAACCAATCCTTTTATTGAAACCAAGGATGTCTAATTGTGACAGGTACATGTTTTATCTACAGAGATGAAATCCATATACATACTATTTTCATGAAGTCTGCATGTCCCATTTACACAATTTGATACTTTAAAAGGGCTTAACAGTCAATCAAGACTTCAAGTATGAAACTCCATAACAAAAGAAAATTTTATCACGTTACTGAAGTCAGCTAGATAAACAATACCTTCTGATTATGACAATATCATTATGTGCTTCATGGTGAACAGTAAGACAGAAAACATTCACCTGGTTTCATATTCAAAATACTTGCTGAGATTCATGTATAAATGAATGAATGAACATAAGGGTAATTGTGTATTTTAATATAATAAAGTCAAATGTATTCAATTCAGTAAGAAAAAACCTGCTTCTTTATATTTTGTGTGGAGTTCTGCCTCACTGAATTTGTGTTTGTTTCTGATTCTGACAAGCTACAAAAAAATAGATATAAATAGAGTCAGTGTTAAATGTGTATCTCTATTCTTTTGCAAGCAAACTGTCACAATATTATGCTCATTAAAAAGCTTTTGAAAACTAATAGCTAAGTGAAACACTAGACTTAATGACTTGAAATAAATATCTTGCAACAGAGCTGTTTAAGCCAGTGTAAAAACAAACCTCTTAAACAGTAGAAGCACATACACCAGGCAAACAGAGAACCTGTTTTCACTGAAATCACTTGCAGTCTTGCCACTGACATCAGTAGGAACTAGACTGAAATAAAAACCTTCACTACTTTTATATTTCCTTTTGGATTGAATCTTCCTTTATTTTCTTGCTATACCCAGCCAAAGATAGATGATTCCTAGAGAAAAAAAAAGATTACAAAAGTGGTGCATTCCCCTTAATATAAAAAAAGTCAGATATAAAGTGTGACAAATACTCTATTCAGATTCTTCAGATTTTACTTTGGACCATCACAGAAGGATTTAGCTCAATAAAAACGCAAAATCCACCTCCCAGCCTTGGCAATGCACACAGCCCTTCCTGCTGAGGACAGAGCTATCCTGCTTCCCAAACGTGACTGAAATCTTAAAAAACACTTGAGCCCAGTGTCAGCAATCCTGAAGTATAAAACAAGTATTTATTAATATTAAACAATACCAGTGCATCTTTTAAATATTCATATTTTGTTTATTTTAGCATTTAAGCTTGCTTGGCAATTAATGGACTGCATACATACCCTGTCCAGGTAGGATGCCTTATTCTGTGAGCTTCAGTTCATATCATTGCCGAATATTCTGTGAAGGCACATCATCATTTTCTGTCACACTGAATCTAATCTTAATTGCAACATTCCAAAGAGTAAATAGGTGGCATTAGAATTCAAGTAGATTTTTGTTCTCTCAAGAAAACTATTTATAGAGGCAATAAAGTGCAGCAATAGTTTTCCAGCTTTATTAATCTCATTTAAAAAAAGAAGATAAAATGAACCCAGTTTATTCAGATTTGTTGATCCATATCTAAAGGTCTGATAGAATTATTCCATTTGCTTCTTGTTTAATGAAAAATTCAGATCAATAAGAGACTTATCTCCTTTGATTTAATGTTGTGCAAAATCTGTTAATTAGGAAGAAGGTATTAGAATTGATGGTTTTCACCTAAATAGAGTTTAATAGTAAATTCTCAATTAAAGTTTCTGAAAAATGAGGTGCAATTACAATTAAGGATAGAGTAAATGCTGGGAGATAGAGTAAGTGTTGGGTTGGTTGGTTGGTTTGGGATTTTTTTGAAGTCACTGTCAGTTATTTATAAAGATAATGCTCTCCCTCTAGATGACAAAAAAAAATGAGCATCTGAAAAGGGAATGGGCCCTGTCTATAAATACAAGCTTCACAAATCAGGACATTGCATATCTGTAACAAAAAGAAGAGCAGATTAGCAGCCATTATATTAAGATGGTAAATCCACCTCGCAGTTTGCATACCAGCAGAATTGTTGGGTTGTTTACAAAATCCTGAAATTTTGGAGGAAACTCCCTGTTAAATATTTCTACACCCTTTTCCTCATCCCCTTTTTTGCTGAAAGCAAGTAAATAAAAAACCTGGAAGGTGTTTTTGTTTTTTTTTCCTTTATGTGCTATATATACATCCAACATATACATTAATAGCTGTACACAAAAATTTCTGCAATGATCCAAGCTGTAGATCAAAATCTTTCAATTAGGGAGAGTAGCACAGTGTTACAGCAGAAAAAATCCTAAAACACTACTGACATGACAGACACCCACTCCCCTGTGCCAAACCTCCCCTGGCTGGCAGGAACCGATGAGTTCAGGAGGAAGGGTACCCATGCCCATCCCTGTGCAATTCTTAAATGTCACAGGTACTCACATCTACAGCATGAGTTAGATACAGTGTTATGATTGCAAATAATTACTCACTGTCATTACTGCAAACAAATGAGCAATAATATGGATGAACAGTGCACCATATAGAGAAGCAGATAGCATTTTAATTGATGGAAAAGATAAGAGAATAAGGATTATCAGAGCCACAAAAGAGTTTCCATATAAGGAGAGATTTTGTAGACTGGAACTTCTCAGCATATAAATATAAATAGGAAAGAGGCCAATGGAATCTTGATTGGTATAAAGAATATGAATAGCACACAGTTAATACCCAGCATCTCATAATACTGGAATTATTCAGGAATTGGTTTTAAAGAAAACAGAAGTAGTACTTTTCCACATAATGCTTAATATTTGCTGAAGATGCTGCTGCAGCGTATTGTGGAATTTCTTCTACTATTCCAATAACATCCACCGCAGGTCACAGGGGTCATTCATTTTTGAACCAGAATTCACTTTTTTTGTTCTCATGAAGAAGATTTTTGAGGGAGTATTTTCTTGTCAGGTATTCAGAAACCTAATCAATATGCAACATGCAACATTTTACAAAAATAAAATACTGGCAACAATGGACATCCATTTTGGTATATACCCCAACACACCTACATATGGAAGCTTCTATCAGTACAAATGTAAGCTAAACAGAAGTGCTGTGGCTGATTATGCCATTTTTTAACTTGCCTGGTAACTCTTTATGGATTAGTATATTCTTGTTCCTAAAAACTCATCAGGCTGTGAGGCCAAAAATTCCAATTACATTTGTAAGCGTACACTGCATTATCTTAAATTGTGCAGCAACTACAATGTCTCTAATTGAAGTTGGCTTAATACAGAGCACTAGTTTTAATTCCTGAGTCATTTTCCAGTAATGAATAGCTGTATTCAGGCCACAGTGTGAGAATATGTTTAATGGTTGTGTTAAATTGTGATACAGCTACCTTTGAGGAGCATCTAATTTATTTATTGTCTGTATGAAACCAACCAGTGTTTTCCTATGTGAAAAAATAAATTATTCATACAAGTACTGCCTTAGACCAATCTGTGAATAATAGTTTAATTACATATTTCATGTATTTGGAAAAACTTGCAGATATTTTATGTTCATGTCTTTAATGTTAGACAGCAGCAAACACTTCTGCCTTCTTTCCTCCAAACGAATACATATAAGACCCTCAGTGAAAAACAAGAGTTTTACAGATATCGCTAGAAGTGTCTAAAGTATGCAGTGAATTCCATAATTTGTGAGTTATAAAAACTACTACCCAAAACAAACAGCTGAACGGACCTTAAACCTAGGGATCTTAAGTCAAAGCACTTGCATTAATAATTTGTTTTCTCCAGTAAAATAAAACATTATCAGTTCATTGCCTACCTTCTCCATTAAACTGACTGCAAGTCAAGAGTCGACTTCTGAAGTTTTCATTTTCTTCAAGCATTTTTGAAATTACTTTCCAGACCTTAAGCCAGACTTTGGACTGAAAGGTAAAATTGAACTTTCTCAGTGAAGCATATAAAAAGTTTGCATATAGGGCAGAATTTTGAATTCTCCAGCATGACTATGGAGACCATTTTTTTTGTTGTTGTTGAGGATTAGGAAGGGGAGGTCTGGAGGAGGGATATATATGTGGGATATACTGGAAGAAAGACCTCTATTTAAAAGTCAAAAATCATGCATTACTTCACGATTTTCCACATGCAATATCCTCCTCCTTTCTTGCCTAGAACTCGCTTATCCAGGGATTGTGAAGTGACCTTCTAGATAAGAAGATCTTAATGAAAATGTGTGTAGAGCCATTAAACTCTCTTAAAGTAATCCAAAATGGGGGGCTAAATAAGATTGCTTATTTTTCCCGGAGCAAGAACTTTCCCATATAATTCCTCAACAGCAGCATAATTCAGACCCCACACTCAGATTCCAGAAGAGCAACGACCTTGCCTATTTCATATCAAATACATATTAATCTGTTTTATAGATGTTGATGACCTTTATTTTAGAGGCATAAAGCTCCACTTATAGTGGTCACATTTCAAACTTGTGCATTTAAAATATTAAATTGGAACTGTTGACAAAGGCATTCAGGCAGAGAGGCAGACTAACAAATATCAAGGCTGTTAATGTGCTAACGTTATGACTTTTGCTGGACCCCATCCGTGAAACTAGTTTAAATCTAAAGATAATCACTTTCTCATGGACGTTTATGGCTAAAACATAATACATATTCCTCATTCTTTTTGAAGACTATTTAATGTACTAGAAGAACGACATCATAGTATGTTATTAGCTGTTCCTCTGAAGTCAGTAGTATTTTGCTGGTTCTAAATCAAGTATCTGTGACACTACTATATTACAGTCTAGCTGATTACTTGTACTTCACACATTACAAAATCTCATAATGAGTTACTGTTTTAATAAATGTGCCTTTTAAATTTTCAAGCATTTTTTGAACTATTGAACAGGAACAGAAATAGGTCTGTGAAACAGAAAGTAATTTTGTATTGCTACTAGTATGGTGTTAATACCTCTGATTCTTGCCTTCACTTACTTGTAACCTATGGGATTTCTTTGCTTAAAACATAAGATGAAGAGGAGCTACAGAGCTTTTCCCTCCTGGGTTTCACCCAGCAAGATGTGCAGCACCCTGGCCCCAATCCAGCAAGGCATTTCAGTACAGGCTTTAAGTCAACAGCATGCTCTCATTTTTCAAGGTAAGCACACACTTAAGTGCTTTATTGAATGAAAGCCAGAATTTTAAAGCCTCCAGAGAGGGAAAATAATACCATTTTTCTTTTCTGTAAGTAAGGTTTTCAGTAACAGACTACCAATTCAGTCTTTTAATCTCCCCTCATGCTCTCACATAGACATACACAGAACAAGCAGGAAGCAATTTTCTCAAATGCAAAAGCAGCTAATTCAGCTCCCACATTTTATACCTTTTGCTTCTTTCGTTTAATTACTTTATCAACATTTCTCGAAGGGAAGGGAAAGTCAAAGGTGTCAGCCTTAGCCTCTCGAAGGTCACCTAAGAAGAGAGTTTAGAAAGCATATTCTGAGTGTTTACAATATATTCCTGCCAAAGCTGTAGATCTTCCAGATGGAAACTTATTTCTGGTCCCAGCAGGTTACAGGATATCAGTCTTTTCACTGTGCTATCGCCTTGCTTAGATTCTCCATTATAACCATGGGCCAAGTGGGTGTCTCTCAAACTCCACAAAACAGATTTCAAAACTGTACAGCAACCAAAAATTAAGACAACAGGCTTCTGGGCAACACAAACTAGCTTTTAATTCCCTTTTTTTCCCCTTGCTATAGCAGCAACTAAAATTCTGCCAGAGCTCAAAGAGAAGGTAAGTAGATTGAGGCAAGAAACCAGACAAATAATCTCCACTAGCACTAAGAAACAGAAACAAGAAGGGCAGGTTGATACTGTGGATTCAAGACAAATATCTGCAAGGAGGAATGACTCGGGTGACTTTTCAGCAAGGTGAGGATGGCAGCTTTCCAAGGAGGTGCTGGACAGGCAGGGTATGGCATGAGCTGAGCAAAAGGGTGACCCATGTGGGGATGCTAAACATGGTCACAGCTGCGGGCTCATCCCTTGCTGCAGCAGGGCTTCAGGCAAAAGAGCATCCCCCATGCCACCGCAGTCCCACCACCAGATACCCATGACAGCCACAGCGCAGGAGGAAGGCTTTGGGTCACAGGCTGCCTCCAAGCCACAGATTGGCATCACTTAGATAATAACCCAGCAGAACCGGTGCTTTTAATTACAGATTAATGCAACATTTTACCTCGACATCTTTGGAAAAATGGCTTTTAGGAGGAGACAAAATTGTAAGACAATGAAAACATCTCAAGAGCAACAAGTTAATAAAATTCAGGATCACCCTATCTGTGTCACACATCATTTCCAGCTCACACACCAGCTTCTTCTCCAGAAGCCAGGTCATGTTCTCCATTTTCACTCTATTTTGTCCTGTGCAGCAGAGCTATGTTTCATAACAGATCACAACCAGTGGAAAACTCCCTAATCTTTTTTGTTTGCTTTTATAAAAAAAAAAGCACCCACACCCATGCCCATCCCAACTGTCTTTGGTTCCACCCACAAAGAAAGAAAATTAAGAAACATCTTTGAGCTGTCACAGCAACAAGGGAGCCAGCAGCACAGCGGCTCTCTGGTTAGGCGGGAATCTCCGAGGAGAGGACAGAAGGACCCAGAAGTTTGGTGTGTAACAAGCAGCCCTGTTGAATGTAGCTTATTTTTTGCCTTATTGCTGTCACAGAAAAGGACAGGGAAGGCGGCACTGCAGGCAGCCACCTCACCTTACAGGTTGGAGATGCTGTAGCTCAAAAGTGTAAGAGTTTGGGGCAAAAATATTAAATTTTTCACTCATGTAAGTTTAACACCATGTTCCACCTCCTGCCTAAATACCCTGTCCAACTGTACTGGGCACATTAAAACAAAAATTGTGCCACCTTCACCCCTGAGTGTGCAGAGTCTGATTGAGAGGGAGGACCCCAGTGGCACAGCATCAACAACACACCACAGGGAAATGGTTTCCCGCCAGAAAAGAGGAACATGGCGGTGCCCAGGGGCACAGAGGTCCCCGCGCTCAGAGACACGTACCGTGATGGCAGCTGACAGGCTTCACCACGCCACAGCTCCCTGCCACCTGTGCCCTGCCACTGGCAGCGGACAGCCCAGGGCTGGCCTCGTCCCCTGGCACTGAGGCGGCCCTCTGCCTCCCGGTCTCCCCCATCGGGCTTGGCTGAGGAAGCGAGGGCCCAGCCTGGCCCGCCTCGGCCTGCTGGCAGCCCCTGCCATAGCGGATGGTTGAGCCACAGCGGTGGGAGCCAAAGCTGTTGACATAAACAAGCGTCACACACGGCCTCCCCTGGCTGCGGCCAGGCTCCATCTGGGGGGGGGCAGGATGGCGCCGAGGCGTCCCCGAGGAGAGGCCAGGGCCAGGCGGGCCGGCGTCCTGGCTGCCACGCTGTGGGGTGAACAGCACTCGCGGCCTCTTCCTCTGGGCAGGCATGGGGTGGGGGGGCCTGCAGAGCTCCCCTGCTGCCCTGTCCTCTCTGCTCGCCATCGTCCTGTGTCAGTGTCCCAGCTGGGTGGTGAAGAAGGGAGAAATAACAGCGAGCAGGAACAGTGAGCTTGGCGCAGAACGGGAGTGGCCTTGTACCACCCCAGTCTCTCTCTCTCAGTAGGAACCTGCTGCACAAGGTTGGTTTTGGCCAGCATTAGTTAGGGTTTAGCACAAAGTATACTGCCTGAAGTCATATACTGATATATTTCATGCAATATTGACAAAATGATATAGGGGACTTCAGGCTGAAGGCAGTGATGTATTGTTTGTCTCTGCTGTGATTTACAGAAACGGAACAAGTGGGATTTTTTCGGTGTGGGAGCTTCCATAGTTCCTGCATCAATACAATGAATTTTCACAGTGGTGTACTTGAAACAGCTTACCTGCTAGGGCACGGGTGGGCGGCTCCAGCCACCTGCTTAACATTTATGAAACAGTAATTTAAATAGTTGTTATCATTTTGTCCTTCAACCAACAGCAGGCATAGCTGCACGCTGTGCGATGCTGAGGGGACACCCAGCGCAGTCGGGAGTCCCTCCCGTGAAGGTGCCCTACAGAGACATGTGCCTCTGCAGCAGCGGGTTTATGGGGTATGGCCAGTGACAAGAGGGATTTCCCAAACCACTTAAGAACACAAGTCCCACTGATTTTTTGCTTTGGCTCTGAAATACTGCTCCATATTATTTCCCAGAGTTTCAGCACACTTAGCTGCTCAGAGGAGGGAAATGAGGAAAACAGTTCTATCTGCAAACTGCGCTTCCAGTAGTAGCATCAATCTGTGTTTGTGAGATGAATTTGGCATTATCCTTCAAAAATTAATAAAACCCCAAAATCTTAATGATCAGGACATTCTGACTGATCAGTGCATTAAATCCATTCAGTGAAAGTAATGATCATGAGGCTTTTACAAATTAGAAAGAATAAATTATGTGAAAATACCTTTTTCTAATTGTTTTAGCAGCACCAGCAGAATGAACGGCGCTGAGAGACCTTGGGGTCCCCAGGGCTGCTGTCACCTTGTCCCCACGCAGGGCAGGGTGCTGTGCAGACGGACCCCACGAGGTGGCAGCCTTACCTACCGAACAAGCCCGTGTCCCTACCTCTGAAGCGACCTGACGGGAAGACGCGGAGCTCAGGACAGTATAAAAACCCAAAGCACTCTTCTGCGAAGTATCCCAGGATTTCCAGGTATTTTACACACTGTCAGAAAAAGGCATTTTGTGTATGCAGTTGAAAAAAAAAGGAAAACAATTTCCAGAGGCACAGCCTGACAGTTTGCCAGAGTAATTTATTTCCCAATGATAAAAGGGAATCTACTGCAGGCTCCAAAGTGTACGGACTAAAAAGGAGGTCACAGATACAATACAACCACCGAGTCAGTAGCCTTGAGATCAACTGTAATCTCACAATAACTCCCCAAACACCAGAGACTTCCTCCTCTGCAAAGATCTGAGCTAACAAATTGGCCCAGTGAGGTAGC